ACCTCTCCAGAGGGCGCGGCACTGCGGCTCTGGTGAGTGTGGGATGGGGCTGAAGTTGGAACTGGGGAAAATGGGGGGGGCGGGGGGGCGGCCGTGCCACGGGGTCCAGTACCCGTTACCCAGTGGGATGTGACCGCTCTGGACTGGTGGGTGTGCAAGGGCGAGACAGAAACCCGCGTGGGCGTGGGGACTCTGGCGCTGGTGTCCAGGGCGCGCCCCTGCCAGCCCAAGGGGTCGAGGGGGCAAGCCTCGCGGGACTGGAAGCTGTAACCGCCGCCGCTGCCTGGCAAGTGCTCCCTGCCCTCTGCGCCTTCTCCCTCAAGGGCACTCACTGATCCATCACAGCCCTAAAACGAGGTGCTGAGACCCAGGTGCTCCCCACGCCCCACTCGTCCCTGAACCATTCCAGCATACTCTTAGTCCCCTGCCTCCTGCAAATATCTGGGCTCACTGGTAAATATCCTGGCTAAGCAGAGGTCAGAGGGTCAACTCCTGGAGTGGTTCCCTCCTGGGATCTCTGGTGCCAGGTTCCATGACATCTGGCCACTTTCATCCTTGCTGTGTAAAGGATTCACATAACACCACCCTTCCTCGGAAAAGTGGCTGCACGCCTCAGTCTACATCTTTCTGGTTTATGCACCCTGAAGCCCTTTGCAATGCCACAAAAACCTTTCTGGCACTTACTTTCCTTCCAGGAGCCCCAGTACCCCAGATCCTTTCAACTCCCTCACCCCTGGAAACCACTCAGAATTCCCAGTCTGTGCAGTATTTCTCTAATCCTTCGAGTGTGAAATCATAAAGCACTGGATTTCTATACTGCAGTATGTATATCCAAATCGATGATGAGTTTCACTTTGACATAACTGACTTGCTCTGTGAGCAATCCTTTTTGGCTGCATTTCATAACTAAAGACTCAGGATCAAGAAGGCTAAGTAATGTGTTCTGGGTCACAGGAATATCAAAGAACTTTTGAGCTCTTGGCTCCTTATTTTCTGGGTTCAAACACCAATATTTTTTTTCTCTCATCCTCTCTTGCCTGCTAACAGTTCTGTACACTGTGTTTGGTGGCACTGTTACCCATTAATATTAGGTGCTCAGAAATACTGGAGATGTTTCTGTCAACTTTGGTTAATTATTCAGTTTACACATGTGGGTGGCAGGAAGTTTTGAGGGATGTGTGCGTGAGAGAGAAATACATACCTTGGGTCTTTTGACAGAAATTGGGCTGGTTACAACGCAGCACATGAATAAGAGAAGAGAAAAGAAATTCAAGAATGCTTTGTCACAAATGGCCATTCCCTAAGTAGTCCCAGGAATGTCCTTGACCACTTAGCCCTCTTAAGATTAGTGAGCTTATTTTTGGTAGCAGAATGCAATTTTGGGAAACACATTTTTAAAAAAATAATAGTCCCTGAATGCCCCAGGGGACAAATCACATTAAAGAAATGTGTTTGTAGACATATATTCATTCTCAGCTGTCACTTGTCACAATAACAGTGTACCAGTCTTTATATTATTCCCAATCTTCAGATAATCATGAGTCATAAGATAATCATAAGCTTTGATCCAAGTATAAGTTTTTGAGTTAAAAAGGTGTCTAAATTTATGCACAATCTTGTAAGTAATTCAATTTATGACCTGTAAGTTTCCACCAGCTGTGATGAAATACATTATTATGGTAAGGACAGTATGAAAGCTGAGAGAGCTGTATAAACCGTGAAGAATGATTCAGACAGCAAAGTAGCATGGATGAAAGAGGAAAACACCACACCTGACAGTTTCTGAAAAATAAATAAGACAAGAGAAAATTAAATTTCCTTGATATGCTGAGTAACCACATAAAAACATCATTTTCCAGCTTCCGTGACCTCCAGATCTGACCCCCCCTGAAAAGAGGAAACTTGGCTGTATTCTTCAGTCAACGCGGAGAGTCATCAGTGAAAAACATCAGCTTTTTTATTTTGACTACCTCTTCTGTCATAAAAATGTAGAGCAATGGGGGACCCAGGAAAGATGAATCACTCTGTGCTGCTGGCATCAAGTGGGAGTGATGATGGAGACCTGAGAAGCAGATAAAGACTAGCAGGGCAGCAGCACCCACAGACAGCCCAGGAATCCACCAGCTTACAAATGAGTGAGGGCAGAGGCAAGCCCATCAATCTAAGCAAATAGTGAAGGCTCATCAAACATGCTTCAATCTCCATAGATGAGGAAAATATATACAAATAATCTAGCAGATATAAAGTCTCCAGCCCTATTCCCACTTCTCACCATCCCCCATACAAGCATACCCTCTCTCCTATTCCTACTAAAAAAGTACCCATTGCCCTTAACTCTGTTTTGACTCATAAGCTCAAAACTTGTCTTTGAGTCAGAAGTGACATGACTGACCATCATTGGGTCTCCAAAGCTATACATCACACTGGAAGTTTCTAGCTGCCAGAGAGGCATGGCTTTTGGATTAGGGCAATGCCCTGCAGACTGCACCTCCAGACCTTGCTGACTTGTGCTGTTGTTGTTAGGTGCCATCGAGTTGATTATGACAGCACTTCATGAACAACAGATCTTAACCTTGCCCCATCCTGTGTCATTCTCATTGTCTCTGATATGTCCAGACTCACTGTTACAGTCATTATGTTGATTCTACTTGTTGAAAGTCTGTCTCTTCTCTTGACTCTCTACTCTTCCAAGCATGCTGTCTTTTTCCAAGAACTATTCCTTTCTGACAACATGCCCAACATATGTGATACCACTCTTGCCTCTAAGGAGTTCCCTGGTTGAACTTCCTCCAAGATCGACTTGTCAGATGTCATAATCTGAGCTACTGAATGATTTAAGTCACTTTAAAGGTGTGATGACTTTGATAACCTCTCCAAATAACAGAAGATTTAACCTAGGGAGAAGTGCTTTTCTACTCCTTTAGTTTCACTCTTAAAGACATTGTCAAATTATCCAATGAAGAGATCTTTGAGTCTCATTCTTCTCCATGACCTGTTCTGACAATATAAGGAGGCTTCCGAGCTAAGCCAGGCATTGGGTTGAGTCCCCTCCAGCTCACAGCAATCCTCCTTTGGAGTTTTGAGGATGTATGTCTTTATTGGAGCACACATCCTCATCTTTCTTCTAGCCAGAGGATTTGAACTGATGATCTTTTGTGTGGAAAGCCAAATTTCATACTTAAATATTTAGCAGAGATAAACCAAGTGCTATATCAGGATATTAGGAAGATGCTGATACAAGCTGGAATTCACCCTGAAGCACCAAAGCAGACCTTAGGTGACTTAGGGAAAGGTGCTAAGATAGAGTGTTTACGCAGTCCTTGAGTTATATTTGCTAACTCCTCCCTCTTGAGTCAAGCATAAGGTTTTCAATAGAAATCGCTTAGCTTCATTTGCAAAGAATTCTTTTTGTCATTTGCTCCCTGGCAATTTTTAATAAAGTCACAGGGAAGCTGGGTTTGGTGCTTCAGTTGTTCAAACTGTTCACCTCCTGCTTTACCTCTGTTTACTTATATATTCTTGGTGTTTTGTCTCATTATTCATATGCTTTACCCTTGGTCGACAACACTTTTGCTTAGCAAACCAACACTTAGTGAAGAGCAATCTGTAGACTTCTTGAGTAGATTCTACTGTAGACTGTAGCTTTATTATGCACCAAAAAGGAAAGCAAATTACCATATCATATATGGGAAGTACAAACAAGTCCATCACTAACAACTGCTAACTTCTTCCTTTAACCCTAGACACATATATCGGGCTGCCTACTAGACACTGTTGTTGTTGTTGTTGTTGTTGACGATGATGATGATGATGTACTGTGAAGTGGAAACTGACTCATAGCTGACTCTCCAGTGGGTTTTCGGAGACAGTTACTCCCACAGGAGGAGATTACGTATCTTGTTCCTGTGGAGCAGCTGGTGGGTCTTTCCTGGTGACATGCCCAAAGTGTGTGAGAAGGAGCTTCAAAATCTTTGCCTCAAGGGGCGAACTGATTTCATCCATTTCAGGACAGACCTGTTTGTCCTCTTGGCAGTGTGTCCAATACTCTTCTCTAGCACCGTAGCTCAAAGGTATTCATTCTTCTTGTATCATCCTTAGTCATTCTCCCACTCTCAGATGCACAGCCAGTAGTTGTGAAGACCATGGCTTGCATCCAGTGTTCCTTACTCTCTAAACTGACATTGTTGCTCCTTAGAACTCTGGAGAGACATCATGATAAGCTATTATTAATACGTTCAGGATTATTCAGTCACATGGTGGACAGCTCTAAAAACTGACA